CCTTTTTTTTTTTTTTTTGAAGCACTGTCATTTAATTAGAGTAAATTTTGTCCAAATTTTAAATATGCATTAATATAGATATGGCTGATTGTTATATGTAAATTTAATGTTTAAATTTATTCTAGTGAAAAATATCAATTATCATTTTCTCTTTATAGTTGGAGAAGATGGACAAGTAAAAATCTGGTCAAAGACTGGAATGCTAAGATCAACTTTAGCTCAGCAAGGTATGTATTATAATCAATAAAAATGTCTTAACATTTTCCTTTAAAGACAGCCTAATATCATTTCTAAGACTGATTTTGGTCATTTTCAAAACCTGAAATGTCTTATTTCTATTTAGATTTTTTCCTGTTGCTTTCCATGTTGCCTGATAGATCATGGTACCTGTGTTATTCAAGCCAAGAAATATATGAAATACTCAAGGGCTTTTTCTTTGTTAGTGAATCTGTACAAATACAGTTATGGGCTAATGATTCTTTTTAAATAATTCTGAAGCATTATGAACATATCCTATCTAGAATAGGATTTGGTATCTAGTTAAGTAAATAATAGTAATAGAAAACATTGAGTATCTCCTGACTTAAAAAGTCCCAATAACTTCATAATATTAGCACCCTTTCTAAATTATATTTTACCTTTGATGTCTATACTAATGGAGGGGAGCAGACACCCTGATGATCCAAAACTTGTTAAGTTACAACTCCTTAGAACAGCGCCTCAGTGTTCCATGTTACTTGGGAAGAAATACCCATAAAGTCAGTCTATAAAGTAGTCATTCCTGTTGGAATTTAGATTACATAAGATTTTCTTCTGTGTGGCAGATTTATTTTCCTAGTTACATTTACCTAGGAACAATAAAGCAGTTTTAATGTTGACCTGAGAATTTATCCGCTGATCTTCAGAAACAGGTTGCCAAAAGGCTGCTTGCACACTGTCTTTCAGATTATATGATAAAGTCATATTGTGAAACATTTCCATTAATTGACTTCCAAAAATTGCCAGATTTCATTTTTTAAGTTGTTTATTCTTAGGATAATGTTAAAATAGTTACATTTCCTTAGCTACACATTAACCAAATGTTAGCAAAGGAACCAGAAGTACTAATAAGCACTTATTTCCTGAGGTTAAATCTTTGCTACAGATAATCTCCAAGTTGAATATTTATCCATGAGTAGAAGCATTTTTGTTAGAAAAAATTGTCAATTTATTGTTACTTTAGTAATAAAATATACCTTTAGAAAATAAATTTTTGCCTCGCCCAGGTGGCTCAGCCGTTGAGCATCACCTAGGATCCAGAAGATCACCGTCCGATTCCCGGTCAGGGCACATGCCTGGGTTGTGGGATTGATCCCTAGTAGGGGCCATGCAGGAGGCAGCCAATCAGTGGCTCTCTCATCATTGATGTTTCTCTCTCTCTCTCTCTCTCTCTCTCTCCCTCTCCCTTCCTCTCTCTGAAATCAATAGAGACAAATTTAAAATAAATAAATAAATAATAAATTTTATTTTAGTCTTCTAGTGGGCCTGGGGATTTACTTTTGGCTTTATAATTTTTGTTAGGGCTAATTATTTGGCATTCTTACTTTATGATGTCTGATTTATGTGCAACTGACAGAATTCTTCTAAAGATCACTGCCCCCTTGGAGGTGGGGCTACAGTTCTTTTTAGTGTTTTGCTGCTGCTGAGACATATCCTTTTTTCCTTTCTTTTCTCTTTTACTAAATTTTTGTCTACAGAAGACACAGATCTTCAGAGAAATTCTGAAAGCTTATATCACCGCCCACTATATATGAATTCTTGCCTAAATTGTTCATTAGTGCCTGCCTAAAGCTCCTTCAGTTTTCTTAAATTCTTTACAGACATCTCCTTTCCTTTTACTACCCTTGCATCCACCATTTTGAACTTTCCAACCTCTAAAGTTGAAACTTACAATAAGGTGTTTAATATAAACATTGTTAATCATAGAGGGTAGGTGACAATACTATAGTTTACCTGTATAATGGGTCTGGAAACCAAATTGCTACTTATTTTACTTTTACTGAGAAAATGCATTTAGGGTTCCCAAATTCACAAGGGCAGTTAGAAGCACAGTATGTTCCTAAATTAAAGACTATAAATCAGAGATCACAAACAGGTGGCCTTTGGGCTGAATCTTGCCCACTAGCATGGTATAGACCCAGTATTAAAAATCAGGACATTTCACATAACAAATTTGGATTTCTGGTGTCTTGAAAAATTGGAAGATCTGGCAACATTAGGCCTGCTTTTCAGGATGAATACAATCAGCTGGAGTTCAGTAGTCGCTGCTCCATTTTTAGTTGGATTTTAAACTCTTATTATTTTTCTTACACTCTACTCACTTCACTCATTTTTGTTACATGGGAAAAAAACATAAATCTGAAGGTATGTGAGTTTGCAACTCCTGCTTTCAGTAATAAGTGATCATAAAATTTTGGTTGTTAATATGTATCTTGCAGGGAGCACTTAAATCTTTTTATTTTATTTTAAAGTCTTACTTTCTAATAGATATATATTCACATGCTTCAGAATTTAAAGCATATAAAAAGGTATAAAGTTACCTTTTAAATACTATTTCTGTCTCTCATATTACCCCTATTGTGTAGCCACATTCCCAGAAGGAACTCGTGTGACTTTTTCTTGTGTAGCAAATGTGTTTTTATATATTCCTTTTCTCTCTCTTATAAACAAGTGGTTGCATATTGTATATACTACAATATGCTCTTTGGTTGTTTTTACTTGAGTCATGAACTATCTTGGAGACAGTTCTATATCAGTAAATAAAAATATTCAAGTTTTTTTCCAAAGTGAATGTACTCTTTTATATTACTGCTAGAAATATATGAAGATTCCAATTTCTCCACATTCTCAACACTTGTTATTGGTTCTTTTTTATCATAATCATCCTAGTGAATGTAAAGTGGTAGCTCATTGTAATTTTGATTTGCATTTCCCTAATGATATTGAGCATCTTTTTATGTGCTTATTGACTATTTGTAGATCTTCTTTGGAGAAATGTCTATTGAAATCTTTTGTGAACTTTTTAATTGGGTTGTCTTTTTATTTTTGAGTTGTAAGAGTTCATTATATATTCTAGTTAATAGAGTTATTGGATATATGAACTGCGCCTATTTTGCTAATCCATTCTGTGAGTTTTCTTTTCACTTTATCTTTTAAAACACAATTAAAAAAAAAAAAAATCTTTATTGATTTCAGAGAGAGGAAGGGAGAGGGAGAGGGAAAGTTGAAACATCAGTGATGAGAGAGTCATTGACCGGCTGCCTCCTACACGCCCCCAACTGGGGGTCGAGCCTGCAACCCGGGCATGTGCCCTGACCGGGAATCGAACCTTGATCTCCTGGATCCTAGGTCGATGCTCAACCACTGAGCCACGCCTGGCTGGGCAAAACACAAAAGTTTTGAAGAATTTTGATTTATCCATTTTTTTCTTTAATTGCTTCTACTTTTGGTGTCACATCTATGAAACCACTGCCTAATACAAAGTCATAAAGATTTAACCTATATTTTCTTCTAAGAGTTTTATAGTTTTAGTGCTTTCGTTTAGGTCTGTGATCCATTTTGAGTTACTATTTATGTATGGTGTTTATTTTGGAGAGGGATGAGTTGTTCTTTCTTTTCTTCCTCCCAACTATGTGGGTAAATAGGATTCTTTTAAGAGGCTAAAAGATAGTTTTATTGTATATTTATGTCACATAATGGTATTTCCCATCAACATTTCAGATAACTATAATTTTCTTAATATCAAATTTCTGTGAAAGAGCAGATCATTTTTATCCTATTTGAATTCTATTTATTCTTTCCAACTTCAAGGTTTATGTTAATTATAAGATTAAAGTGCAAGATTAAATTACATAGATTTTCTTATTTTAGTTAACCTACTGGTATTTCAACTGAGTAATCCGATAGCTTTTTCTAGATTAAGGATTACAAATTTATCTTAGAACTATGCATCTAATTTTTGAGTTTTTGATCATTGGTGCCACCCACACTTTCCTAATAAGGCACAGACTTTTCCTGTTTTATCTCTGGGGAAAATCATTAGAGAAGTTGAGTTATAAAGACATTAACCTCAAAGGAAAAAACCCTGGTTATTTATAAAGTTTGTTTGATTTATTAGAAACTACAAGTTTTGAGTGTGATTATAAATCTGAACTACTGTAAGCTGGATGCTGAAGGCTCAAGTAAGAAGGTCAAGTTGGGTGAGGGTGGTGGAATCCTGCCTCCTTTGAGGAGCAAAACTGTAAATTTTGGCACAAAATGAAATAAAATAAGCCTCAATTATTGTAAAACTTGGAATTCAGTAAACAATGCTGAAAGCATACTTGTGATTTTTACTACATGTTTACATTAATTATACTTACTCCTTGATGAGTAGAAATTAATTCTGAATTCATTTCTTGATGATTGGAACCAGATATACAAATGGAAAAAGTCACAGATGTTACCTTCTCCTCTGATACAAAGAAGGATTAATCCCAAGTTTTTTTGGGGAAAACGTGACTTAGTTTAAAAATGATTCTTACCAGTACCTTTGATGCATTGTTGTTTTTTATTAGAGAAAAATAACGTGTAGGCCAGGGATAATTATTCTTATGCTATGTTATATATTTTAATTATAGGTTAAAATTGGAATAGAGTACTACAAACCTTTTTTACGCTATATTCAAATGGAAGAAGAGAATGACAATTATGAAACCTGTTCATAATGAATTTAGTAAAGGAAGTAAACTGGAACTGTAAATAACTATAATACAAGACCAAATGTACTCATTGCTATAAGGTGCTGGGAGGACAGGGGAGGCAGAGATTAGCACTTGTTGGGGACAAAGTATCAGAAAAGCTTCCTGGCAAATATTGCAGCAGCTTTTGACTGGGCTTTGAAGAATGAAGAAATTAGGTTAGGAAAAGGGCTTGTTGGCAATGGCTTGTTTCTGCAGAGGAAGTTAGTTGATCAGAGGTAGAGAGGTGGGCTGCTTAAGACATGAAGGTCAGGTGAGGGAGAGCATACCCTTTGGGCCAAGGAATAGGCGGTGTGAGGCACTGCCAGAGGGACCAAGACACTGATGGTCTCAGATGCTAAAGGCAGGGGTTTGAAGTTTATTCCATAAGCCTTTTATTCCAAAACCTTTTAAAAAATTGAGCAGGGGAGTAAGAGAGAAGGAATGTCATCTAGGAAAATTACCTCAGTGGTAATATGTAGGATAAATTAGAGGAGATAGAGGTTAAATGGGGGTAGCCAGTAAGGAGGTTACTGACATGTTCCATGCTAGTGTGGATTAAGATGTGAACAAAGGCAGTGCTGATAGTAGTTGAAAAACATGAATAGTTCTTCATGGTTGAGAGGAATGGATACTCTATAAGGTAAAGAATTCAGAGGAAAGAATAAATGAGGGGATATGTGTGGAGGGATGATAGCTTTGAATATGTAGAGTTTGAAGTTCTGACACGTCTTTGGGGCAAGTGGAAATATTGTTAGAGCTCAAAGGTAAAGGCTGAAATATTAATGTGAGAGTCAGTTACAGAAAGGTGAAAGGTGAAGCTATGGGGGAAGTTGAGTTCCTCAAGGGAGAGGTGGCTGATGGAAATTAAAGAAACAAATGCCTTCATTTAAACTTTTTCTCTGTACTGACCCAGTGACATACATAACCAAAAAGTTCCTTTTTTAATGTAATAAATCACAATTACCTATTGTTAGTACATGTCCCTAGAAGTAGAATGAAGGGAAACAATTCTTGGTTTTTGAATTTTTAATGTTTGGTAACAAAAAAGGTTGAGTACCTACTACCATGAACAACACAATAAACAAATGGTTGCTTATTGCATTACAAAGTAATTTCTAGTAGTAGTCACTAACAGTGCTTATATAGTGCCAGACCCTGCTCTCTGCACTTTCCTTATATTCATTCATTGGAGACCTAGATTGCATTCAAGGCAAAGGTAGCTAATGCTTTATTATAATAGTGAAGTGTTTATTTCAAAAGCATTCTTGAAAACATTAAAAACCAACATTTTTAGGGGATACCTTTTAGTATGAATGTGAAAAACATGGTATATTTGACCATGTACTTCCTTAAAACAATTGAAATACATTTTTGTCTCCTCTTCTGTGGTTTAAAATGCCTTCAACAGGTTGAAAGAATTTAGATAATTTGTTTTACAGAGAGATAAGGGTCTGACATTTAACACAACCCCAGGTGCATGTGGTTTCTTAAAAAATGTCAAAAAGGTCACATGATCTTATTGTACAAAGTCAGAAAAACAAGCTCTTTTTGAATGTTTTAACTGAAATGGAACGTAAATAAAAATTCCCAATGTAAAAAGCAATAAATTACTTACAAAACTATTTTTGTTTTTTTGTCTATTTTTTGTTAATGATGAAATTAAAAAGATCTTATTACATAATTTGCTAAACTTTTTGTTTTAAAGTTATTCATTCTGAAAGGCTAAATTTGTTATTTCCATGCTATGCAAAGTGAAGCGTAGCACTAGGAATAATTCAGTGCTTTAATAAGTATGCTTTTTAAAGCATTTGAGATATTATAGATCGGTTTCAAATGCTAATGGTTTGGATTTCATCATAATTTCTTTCTGAAGGTAATTCAGCCACTTTCAATAATGATCTTTATTAGAACCACCCAAATTGGAAGTTGTACAGCAATGTGTAGTACAGCTTCTTTTGGAAAAGAAAGCATTCATATAAGTTCCACACTTAATATTTTATTATAAGCATAAAGGATGAGTATACTGAAGACATCTCTTAGTTCTTGATGCTTTATCCATTTTGAATATTGATGGTTAGGAAGATTGAACTAATGAGATGTGGCTATTAATCTTATTTAAGGTTATTTGTCATAAATGGCTCCCTATTTGCTTTTTGATTGAAAGAATGTGGTTAAAAAATTACGTTATAACAAAGGAATTACTTTTCTCCATAAGCTTATTTTTTTTAAAAACCATAGTTATTATATCTGTTTCTTTAAAATTATTATTGTTTAAAATATTGTTTTATAAACAGGAAATGAATTATCTTCATGTCCCCAAAGGGAAAACAAGTATTCTGAAAATCTATAAGGTTTACAAACAAGGAAATGGTGACACAGCTGACTTAATGGGCCACAAATTCAGTGTTAAAGAGCATAAGAGCGTCCCTAGCTCCTCATTCTATACCTCAACCGGGCCTTTACCACAACTAAAAAACTAGTCACATCCTATAGAACTCAGTGGGAGTTGTATTTACTGAATTATTTTCTTGGGGATAAATGTTTGTCATTGTTTAGTAGACACTCCAGGAAACTGTAATTTTACTGAGTGCATTCATGAAGATATCATAATCTATAATTAAAATATATTAATTTATTTTTTACACAATAACTACAACTGTAATAATGGAAATAAAGAAGGCACTTATAATTCCATCACCTTGTCAAATAGGCTTTCCTCCCCTGTTCCCTTCCAATCCTCACCCAAGAATCACACCTGAGATATGTGAAATTTTTGTTTATATTTCTTGGGGGGTTTATTAGAGTTGAACTCTGTTCATCTGGAGATCTACTTTTGAAGCCCAGGTCAGCTCCTGGCTACTCCCAGAGAATATTCCAAGAAAATGTACTTACCAAGTACAGAAAAAGGAAGAGTGCCCTCTGAGGTTGGCCATCTCATTGGCCATTATAGGTTTCTCTGATAACAGAACAATCCTAGATGTCATTGACTGAACAGGATAGTTAGACCCAATATAATGTCTAACCTAAACCATGGAAGGCATGCTTCAGGAGTTTTTTGGATTAGAGTAGACTTTCTAAGTCTTGTATACCACTGAGACTTGCTCACAGTTGTGTTCCGGTTGGGAAAAAAATGGTACAAAAGAGTAGGGTGCCACCTGAACACAAGTTTTTATCTTACTGAAATTTTACTCCCTGTTGATTCTTGATTACTTCCTGTTGATTAGCATTAGTTGGATTTACCATTTAAATAAATAATTAAATCATATTGGTTGACCATAGTTCCTCAGATTCACATTTCATGTTTTACTAAGAATGTAAATTCTTGAAAGATTTATTCATTGACTCTCAGAAAGTCAATTGCTGCAATAGTCTGACATAGGTATCCTAGACAGCTTTTAAAAGCTTGGTTTTTATATATACATATATAGAACTGGGTTAATATTTCATAGATTAATTTTATAACCCGATTCACTTTCCTAATGAATAGGTAACTTGGTCAGACAGTGGAGTTTAGATATTTAATGCGTTCAATAGATATACTTATTTTTTTAAAAACTAGGCTCACATAAAGTATAGCCTTCCAGAAGATATTGGGCAATCTAGAAAGTAATTGAATTAGAAAATACCATCCCTAAGTTCCTATTCTAGGACTTTGAAAACAGTATGAAATTTAGTGTAGTTTATAGTATTGTTATCAGGGGAACTGGAGTTCTTGGGGTGCTGTGAGAAAAAGAATTTCCTCAGGCCTCCACAGAAGGATGGGGTTTTGTAGAAAGCTTTATTGATGATGTAAAATTAAGGATTTTCCCCTCCGAGTTCCTATCTCCATCTGTCCATGGAGAAAGTCCAATCTTGTCTTCAGCAGGGCCAGGATTAAGGCCACTGCCTAGAGTTTCTTTTCCATATTAAAGTCCAGTCCAGTACAGCATCTAGCTGGCTTAGCTTGTGTTCCCAGCTGCAGTCCATTCCATGTGGGGTCTGCATGGCCATGGGCCACGCACCATGCAGTTGCTTAAAGCCATGTGGCTGTGGAGAGAGAACAGGAGAATGCACGAGTGAGTGCGGGTCGTGGAACAAGTAGAGAGAGAACTCTTTGGGGATTTTAACTTCTAAGATTTTGCTTGCTTGCAATGGCTCCACCTTCCTAGCCAGTGATCTTTTACCCAGGCTAGATTGACAGGCAAGTACCTTCCCTGTGTCACCCAGACTTCACTGTGCATGTGCCCTTCACCTTTGTTTGGTCCCTTTCCCCAGTGATCTGCAGGGAATGGACGGACCGGTGTTTTCCTGAGGAGCATGAAGTGTAGCTTCCTAGTAAAGCTGCCCAGATGACCATGCTTTTAATGTCTGGCCTCCCTTTGCTTTCTTCCTTTGTTAATATTAATAAACTAGTTAATTATGATGATAACAATATGATAGGTAACTCAAACTTGTACCTTTCCCCTGGAAGTGGAGTCAACTTTGTCGTGGTTGTAGGATATTTGCATCCTTCTTAGCCTAGCTTTCAGGCTAAAACCACACTTAATTGATAGCAAGACTTTCCCTAATCTGATATTTAATTTGCCATTTGTGAATTCATAGATGGGAGAGCTAGGTCATTTTGGAGTTGGGTGATTCCTGTTCATTAGACTACTACTTTTTTTTTTTTTAACTTTTTATAATTTTTATTTTTGTTTAAAGTGTTACAAATGTCCCTTTTTCTCTCCAATGACCCATTCCCCCCCATTCCTTCCCACTCCCCAGTCACTCTCCCCACCATTGTCCGTGTCCTTGGGTTGTGTATATATGCACATAAATTCTTTGGTCACTCTCTCCCCCTCCATCCCCCCGCCCCCCTCCATTCCTCTGACATTTGGTCAGTCTCAACTATAGACTACTTCTTAAGCAGCAAGTGAGGGGAAGTTCTGTTGCCTGTAGCAGCATCAGAAATGGGAATTATCTATAAGGTGAGTATACCACGTATATTTTTGTGTGGAAAATTTAAACCAATGTATGCATTGAGTCAGTTTAAACTGATGGCTATGGATGATGGGAAATGATACTTGTTATATACCTCTTTATATCTTAAAATAGTGTAGTGTACTTATTTTTTGTATTTCAATAGCACAATATCTTGAATTCCTAAAAACTTCATCTTTTCTCAGCAAGATCAAAAGTAGCTAAATATATAGTTTGTCAGTTGTCAAAGGAGATTTTCAATGGTCAACATTAATCCAGTCTGAATTTCAATATGAGGCTATACTCCAGTTTGAAAGGGCTTTTGAATTAAGAGGAAACAAAATGACACCCTAGGTTACTTTTTTGATCCTCTTAACAATCTCCCTCTTTATAAGGCATGATAATTAAAGTTTATCAGGTTTTTTTCCTCCTTTTTACAGGAACACCAGTGTATTCAGTAGCATGGGACCCTGATTCAGAAAAGGTTCTTTACACAGCAGGCAAGCAGCTGATCATTAAACCTCTTCAACCAAATGCTAAAGTTTTACAGGTACTTCTCAGGCTTTTGTAAGTTGTTATCAGGATTTGCCAGACTGCTACGTGAGAGGTCACTTTCTTAGGAGTCCCTTTGTTCTGGGTGGTCTTTTTACAGTCTGAGGCTTTTGAGTGTGTGGTTTTATCAGCCTTTATTCTAGAACAGGGAATACCTGGTTATGTTTCCAACAAGGTTCACTTCCTTCTTATTCCAACTCACATTATACCAGTAAATCATAAATGTGGTTTGAATTACTAAATTGTCACATGATTTGGCACAATTGGTACCTTTGACTTTAGCAGTGTCAGCCTCAAATGTATAGATTTGAGACAAAACAGGATGAAATCATAAAACTTTAAAAGCTTGTTTAGACTGTGTTTTTTATTACCATTACTGTCATCTTCCTCCTTCTTGTCTGTTCAATACACTTGAAGTTTCTCTAAGACTCTAGCAGCCTTTTAGTATTTTGGGGATGGAGGGGGAAGCAATGTAGAACAATTTAGAAAAATTTGATGTATATAATTTTACCCATTATTTTGAAGCAAAACAATGGTGGCAGTTAAAACAGGTCAGCATAGTACAAATTAATGGAAAACCTTTAAGCCTATGTCCAGGATTTTGATGTTTGATTCCAGTGTTAAAAGGAAGAATCCTTTTCTTCTTATGTTGATAATGACACAGTCTAGTGTGATGAACAAGAATATAGGCTTTGGAGTTGGTCACTTGGGTTCAAGTGCAACTTATAAAATACCTTTGAGCCTCAACTCTTATCTCAGTTGCGATGCTCATACCTACTTGATAGGATTTTTGTGAGGATTAAATGAGTTAAATTATAAAGTGCATAGGACAGAAAGTACATATAAGAAGCATATTGAATCCATGCAATAAGTATTCAATATAGAAGAGTTGTTATTGATGTTATTATGCATTATTAAGTTATTTCTACCTTTTAGTCAGTTCCTAATAAATTAGAGCCCAGGAGGTCAGAGAAAAGATGTAGAATGACTAGCCTGGGTTAAAGGATTTAGTGCTGGAGATTGATCTGCTACAGCAGATAGAAAGGTGTTTTAAGAAGCATCCAATTTAATAGTTGAGTAAATACAGATTTGAGGAAGTAAGGAGATGGAAATGACTTTGAGGTTTCATATTAGTAACTTGTTTGTAAATTATGCTACATATATCATATAGTCAGCATGCATTTCCATTTTTACTGCATGCAGAGCTGTCTGCTAAGAACTGTGGGACAAAGAAGAAAGAGAAGATACAAGTCCTTGCTCTTAGGCAACTAAGGAAAAGAATTTAGACAAAAGGAAGAAGCTGGAAAAGAGTACTAGTTCTGACTGCCTTTAGTCAAAGTTCGTCCTTACCACTTACACTCAGAAAAGCTGCTATGAAATCAGAGAGCAAAAACAGGCAAGATGAGTCTTTTAGTTTATAATTATGTGGCTTGTTGAGATACCTATAATTAGGTTTCTATGAATGAAACTCAGGAAGATACTTATATCACCATTGATAAATTAAATTATAATGTAGTGGTCCCATAGAACCTTTGAGCCAGGAGGTAGTGAGGGAAGGAAAAGTTTCGAGTGCTAAAGTTCAGCTAGAGTAGAGGAAGAGTTAAAGTAGTGCAAATTTTCTATTCCTTTTGAAAAACTAAGGCTGTGGCAATTCTCCTTGGGCATAAATATGTACTCAAATTTGGATTGTCCACAGAAAAGAGTGCTTAATTAATTCTTGCTTGTAGAATACAGCTCAAAAGTATGTATCTCATTTCCCAAAAAAGCTTTAGGGACTCTTGTAGAGACCCAGAACTTGGTGTTATAGTGAGGAGACATTTTTTGTTAATTCAATTAGTGAAAATGCAGTGCATACCTACTATGTACCAGGTACTATGCTAGCTGTGAGATATTCAGAATGAAACAGAACAATTTTTGGCATCAAGGAGCTTGTTCAAAAGAATTTCAAGAAGTGACTAACATTGAGAAATAAGTGAAAACTGTGCATTATATATAATAGTAAATATATGTAATATATAAATTGATATCCTAAAGCATAGTACAGTTGATTCTTAAACAACACAGGGGTTAGGAGTACTGACCCTCCCATAGTTGAAAAGTAAACTATACCTATGATGCCCCAAAACTTAACTACTGGTAGCCTGCTGCTGACCAGAAGCCTTACCAATAACACAAACAGTTGAGTAACACATTTTGTAAGTTACACGTATTATATACTCTATTCTTACAATAAAATAAGTTAGAGAACATGGTAAGAAAATCATAGGAAGAGAAATACAATTATAGTATTTATTGAAAAAAATCCGCATATAAGACGACCTGTGTAATTCAAACTCGTGGGTCAACTGTATAAGCCAACTTTAAATCATATTTTGTTCCTAACTTTTGAATATGCAAAAGTAAGTTTTGTACCTTTAAAATGAAACTCTCAAGAATCTCTATGTGTATATCTAGCTATATATGTCTATGTCTATATATTGTTATTTTTGTCCTTGCAGTTTATTTTAGGACATTGAGTTAATTTGGCAGTAAATTATCGAGAATTATTGCTTTTTAACATATATTATCAAAATATTTGTTTTTGAGAGTGTATATTTTTATATATCTTGAGTAAAACAAGCTATGAATTATTTTTATTTGACACTAATAATATTTTATTCTGAATACATCAAAAATAATAGATTGGGAAGGGTCTGTAGATAGAGCCCTTTAAATCAGTCACTCTTTGACATGAAGTTAATTGGCTCAGACATTAATATGTACCTTATAGGCATCAAGAAAAATTAATTCTTTTTTAGTTATGTTATTCTGCTTAAATATGGTGAAAAATAGCTTTTAATTACATGTGTGGTAATAGTTAAATGGGCACGTGAACTGTATTTAAGGACAAGAAGACATCCATGCTTACTTTCTGGATTACCAATTTTGGGTCACTTATATATATCCATACATGTGTATAGAATATATAAATATCTGTGGAATATATCATTTTGTTATATAGTAAATGCAGCAGAAGATTTTCATAGTTGTTCAGTGACTATTCCAGAGACATGAAGTATAGGAGATTATGCAGAGGGAATGAAGAGAGTACTAAAGAAGGTACTCAGATAGTAGAAGTTTTAAAAGAAAGAATTAGTTAACAAGAACGAAGGCAGTATCAGTAATGGCATCAGATGTGCAAAGGAGAGCAAGGTTTGGATTTAACAGTTTTGGAGTGCATAACANATGGCATCAGCTGTGCAAAGGAGAGCAAGGTTTGGATTTAACAGTTTTGGAGTGCATAACATTCATTCCAGCGTTATCACACAAATGTTAAGCTTGGAATAGCTCAACAACAAGTGATTTTCCATCTGGAGTTCAGGCAGTTGAGGAAATATATAGGATGTAAGCTATGTAGTGGATGTCATAGTGTTAGGTGCTTTCATTAGTNACTGAGGAAATATATAAGGATGTAAGCTATGTAGTGGATGTCATAGTGTTAGGTGCTTTCATTAGTGTAAATTAGAAATGAAACAAGCAGATGAAGTTATGCATAATGGTTATGAAAGGAAGATGGGAATCTCCAAGGAGAGGACAAGAGAATCATTAGAAAGAGGCAAAATGTCTTCCTGTAAGAAAAACTTTTCAGTACTCTTGAAGTTATAATTAATATCTTATTGTTTTTCATAGTGGAAAGCTCATGATGGCATTATTTTAAAAGTAGATTGGAACTCAGTCAATGATTTAATTTTATCTGCTGGTGAAGACTGTAAATATAAGGTATGTATGTTTGAATTTATCACCTGGTTGAAAGAATCAGATTTAGGTGAAAAGTATTTAGCATCTAAGAATATTATTTTACTACTTTAGCCATGCCATTTAACTCTAATAATTTAGCAAATTGTTAGTTTATAATTTTAAGTGGTATTTTAAAGTGCTGACTTTCTCATTGGCCTATCTCATTGACCTATAGGATTTGATTTAATAAGTAGCAACATAAATACAACTTCTAGTTTTAGTGACTGGACAAATCAACTCAATTTAAGTTTTTAAAGATCAAGTTTATTGGTTTATTAAATATTTATTAGCTTTAGACCAAAATAATTTGGGGGGAATAATAAGATTTAATGTAACTATAGTAAGAGGAAATTTAATTGAAATAAATGCTTTGAGAGAAGGTTGATAGAGCACTTCTTGGACAAAAAGAATTTAAGCAAAAAACACATCATCTCAAGACTTTATTATTTAAAAGGACTTAAAATGGGCAGGTTTTTTGAGTAATTAGAGATTAAGTAACTTCTGAAAATTATCACAATGTTATCATATTTTTTGAGATATTTAAGCTTCAAGGAATATAGCTTTTTCTCCCCTCGTGTGATAATAAAGACATTAAATTGTTAATATTGTAAAACGATAATTTCTAAATTTTTACTTGATATTTCACTGTAGGGCAAACTTGTTTTAATGATGTGTGGTGACTGTTATAAAATATTTTTTTAAATTTGCTTTTGTAGGTATGGGATAGTTATGGCCGCCTTCTGTACAATTCACAACCTCATGAGCATCCTATTACCTCAGTTGCCTGGGCTCCAGATGGAGAATTATTTGCTGTTGGATCATTTCATACTTTACGCTTATGTGATAAAACTGGGGTAAGTTATAGTGGTGAGCAATCACAGATGTGCTGTCATAAATGTGGTAATGCACAACACACCTGGTTCTCAATCTTTAAAAACATTTTTCAATGATTGCATTTGATTGAATCTTTCTGATTTGTCCTCTTAATATACTGGTTCAATCAATTCCAGATTCATGGGACCAAACTCTCTAAGTTTGAAGAATAGGTATGTTCTCTCCTATTTGTCTTTCTGGAAATACTTATTTTAAGCATGATTGTAAAACATGGTGAAGTAATTAAAGTATTAAAATTTATGCTCAATCAGTTGGAGAGTTCAGTTTTAAACCTTTTTAAAATTGTTAAATATATTTCATACAAAAATTTTGGTGGCATATGTTTGGTAAGAAATTGATAGTAAATTTTAAAAATGGTCATTTTAAAACCAAAGGACTTTGGTTTTTTGTCAAGAATTCCATGTTTGAATGTATGTGAGACTTTTTCCTCACAAGAGAATATGCCTCCTGTCATGCAAGTTCTATTCAGACCTTAAGGAAGCAGCCAAGCTCAGTGGCATTGACTGACTGTGTGAAGAAGTTTCAGCAAAGTGCTCCAGAAGCAGCGGCGTCATAGGAGGGCGCTGTTCCATACTATTTCTGACTATGAGGGAATCACACAATTGTCCTGGGGCTTATTTCCTCACTTGCAAAATAAGACAGTTAAAGTCCTCTGCCTGGCTTTACAAGTTCTCTGAAAAATGGTGCCATAAATCCAGTTAGTTTTTTCCTCCCACAGCTCCTTAACTTCTATCTGTGCTCAACTCTGGTCGAACACTGACTCACGAATCTTCTCTGCCTTCACTAATGCCCTCAGGCATCTTCTTTCATGGAATGCTCTCACCTCTGTCTTATACTTGCTGAGTTCTACCCAATCTTTAATGCCCATCTCATGGTTGACTTCCTTTCATGGTACCTTCCTTAGATGATCTAAAGTTTATCTATTTTTCTAACTTCCTCTCACCTTGGTTTCTTTTTTCTTAGTTACAACACGTCAGGATGATAGAGCAGGTGACCTCATTTTCATATGATTTTCTTTTTTTAAATATATCTTTATTGATTTCAGAGAGAGGAAGGGAGAGAGAGAGAGAGAGATAGAAACATCAATGATGAGAGTCATTGATTGACTGCCTCCTGCACGCCCCCGGCTGGGGATGTGCCCTGACTGGGAATCGAACCCTGATCGCCTGGATCCTAGGTCGACGCTCAACCACTGAGCCATGCTCAGCCAGGCTAAGTATATTATTTTTGACTCCCTAGATATTTTATAAGATCCCATAGCGTAAGGATTCTGTATTATCTCTACAGCACACTAGATACTCAGTAATTATTCACTAATAAGTCAATTTAAGCATAATACTTTGAATTTGCCATTTTGACAAAAATAGTTAAAAATTTTAAAAGCTTGGGTCATTGAAGTGATCTGAATAAATGAATTAAAGGTTTACTTTAGTAATCATCAAACCTATTTTTAGAATGTTAATAATCTAGAAAACTAAACTTTCTAAAAGGATTTTCTTTTATTCAGTAGACATTCAATATATACTGCTCATCAGAGTATTTCAGAAACTGGGGATGGAAAGCTGTTAAGATTTTCATTCAAGTTGTTGACAGTCTAGTGGAGAATCAGACTATAGGACTTAAAGTACAGTGTGATCAGTGTATGAGCACTGTGAAGGTGTGGGAGAGCCTGACTCTGCCTGTGGGACATTGATTGGAGAGCTGAGGCATAAAGAATTAGTAGTAGTTCTCCAAGTAGTTGCAGGCAGAAGGAAACTCTTGTGCATCAAAGTATAAATGAGTATGGTGCTTTTAGTATAACGTCAGTAAGATTTTGCATGGGATAGTACCAGGAGATAGTACAGAAAAGACATTCTCAGACCAGATCTTGTTTGCCATGTAAAAGAGTTTAGATGTTAATAATTTCAAATCTAATTATTTTCTGTGGAGCCCCCTTAAGTGTTGCTGTGGAGTGGGAAACAGATGAGGGAGTTGAGCTCCTAGTCCTGCTCTCTACCCGCAACCAGAGAAACTTTACTATTGATCAACTTTACTATTAGCATCCAATATAAGGTTTTCTTTGAACAGCTAAAACAGTGAAGTTGGAAAACCAGTATGTTAGTCATTAGAGAACAATGGGTGGTGGGTAGTAACATGATAATATTCACATATTGGAAATATTGCTTTGGTATCAAAGGAACAGTGGTGCAGGCACCAAGTAGGGCCTGCTCTCAGTTAAAGGTAAAAAAATGGAATTTCATTCAATACTGTTCCCTTCTTTCAACCACTGACTCCCCTCAAACTTCTGCTTGCCCTTTTTTTTTAAATGAACTTTATTGAGATATAATTCACATACTATATTTTATCCATTTAAAGTGTACAGTTTGTTTTTTTAGTATATTCATAGGATTGTGCAACCATCACCACAGTATTTTAGAACACTTTCTTCCCTTCTAAAAGGAATCACACACTCATTGTCAATCCCTATTTCTCCCTACATCACCGCAAGCCCCTGGCTACTACTAACCTACTTTCTTTTTATATGAATTTGTCCATTCTGGCCATTTCCTATAAATGGAATAAAACATTATGTGGCCTTTTGTGGCTGGCTTCTGTTACTTAACATAATATTTTTAAGGTTCATCCATGTTGTAGCATATATCAGTACATCATTCCTTTTTATGGACAAATAATATTCTATAATATGAATACAACGCATTTTGTTTATCCATTTATCAGTTGATAGATATTTGTTTGGGATTGTTTAAATTTTTTATTATGAATAATGCTGCTATGAATGTGTATAAGTTTTTGTATGGACATGTTTTCATTTTTCCTGGGTATGTACTTAGGAGTAGAATTCTGGGTTAAATAGTAACTCTATGTTTAACTTTTTGAGGAATCGCCAAACTGTTTCCCAGAGTGGCTGCCTGCTTTGGATTGCTCTCCAGTCTTCAAGTAGTTGTTTTTGTATTTTGGTTTGAGTGTATCAGTGTTATCTGTGTGAAGGTTGGTCTGGTATTCTGCTATTATCATTCTTTACATATCATAATTTTATTTGAAATAATTGATCATGAGTTTTTAAGAATCAGCTCTGCACATTTGAGAGCTATGCTAACTACTACAATGATTCTCAAGGTGAAGTGGAGAGGGAGAGCTACATGTTTGAGATTCACTATTCAAGGAATTGTCCAGGAAAATAGCCAGATGACATGGATGGTCAGTGCTTGAAACAAATGCAAATGGCCAGTATAAACATGAAAGGATGTTCAATTTAACTAATATATAAATATAAAATAAAGAGATAATGATATATTTTACCTAGTAGATTGAAAAGATTAACAATGACTTAAAAACCTTGGGTTTACTCAGGAAGGAGAAAATGAGGTCTCTCATTTGTACACTGTTGATGGGAATGTAAATTATTAATTCAATCTCTTTGAAGGATAGTTTGTTGATACATATCCAAGTGTCAGTACATATTCCTTGACCTAGGGATCTCACTTCTAGGAATTTTTTCTAAAGAGACCATTGTACATGTACACAAAGATGTATGCATAACGATTTCATCATAGTATGATTATAATAATAAAAATTAGAAATAAATTAAATATCCCTATGTAGGAGACTTATTAGGTTATTATTCTATATATCTGAAATTGAGTACCCTCAACTCTTAAAAATGGGGAAGAAAGATTATGTTTAAAAACTAGGAAAGAACCTTAGCCGGTTTGGCTCAGGGGTTAGAGCATCAGCCTGTGGACTGAAGGGTCCTGGGTTCGATTCTGGCCAAGGGCATGTACCTTGGTAGCAGGCTCGATCACTGGCACGATTGGGGCACATGTGGGAGGCAACCACTCACATAGATGTTTTTGTCTCTCTCTCTCTTCCTCTCTCTCCCTCTCTCCCTTCCATTCTCTATGAAAAGCAGTGGAAAAAATATCCTCTGGTGAGAATTTTAAAAAGCCAAAAACCTGGAAAGATATTCATCATAACTTATTTAGTGAAAAGACCAAGTTTTAGGAGAGCATTTTATTCTAAGATCCCCACTGAGGTAAAATAGTATAGCCATATCTCTCACTACATGGCTAAAGATATACCCATAGTTGCTGTATCCTATATATTTTCCTTTTATGATTTTGTACAGTGGGAACCTTTCTTAACGAAAGGTATCAATTGTACAAATGCAATAAAAAGTTCTTCAATAAAAATGAGCAAAAAAGGAGTGGTGTCACAGAAAATGGTGGAGTAGGGAGCTCTAAGAATTGGTCTCTCTGTTTAAGCAACCATTAAACTTGCAAAAAATGTCAGATTCAACTTTTTCAGACTTCTGGAATCTAATTTAAAATTTATAGCAACTAGAGGGAACACTTAATGAAAAAAGAAACTCCTAAATTTTGGTAAGAAAGCATTGTGACATGTTTTGCTCACCTGCCTACTGTTCCTCATTTTCAGCTTGGCATTGGCCATGGGAGCAGTAACCTGTGTTCTGGTGCAGCTTGCTGGTGCCGAAGGGACTATATGAACTATGTTCTCAAAAAATTGTGCTTGTGCTTTTTGACCTGTCTGGTGGTTCTCAGAGGGATTGGCACAGAGGCTTGTCTTTGTTTTGCCTCCTTTGGAAATCTCTCAGAGCTGGAGTGGCTTCCCAGGTGGCATCTGTTGAGAGCACATAAAGACCCAAGCCACCTGGGGCAAGGGATGGTGGGTGGGGCAAGCAGCAGACAGATCAAAAAGCCTAGGACGGTGGAGACTGAAAAGGAAGATACATGACTCCAGAGTGCAACACACATGCCTGGGCCAGATACAGGCTCAGAAAAGACTTGAGAGGATGCTAGGCTTGAATCACTGGCAGAGCTTTGGGCAGAGCTTTGTGTCACAGGCAGGAGGTGAAGGCTAAGCAAGTACTATAGGTGGCCTGGCCAGATGTTGATGGGAGTGCCCAAGCTCAGAGCCATTTGGCAAAGTGGGAGAGTATTTT